CTTAACTTGATTTTAGGATCAAATTTAATTAACCAAGTCAATTAAGTCGCGTTAGACTAAAATTGAGCTGGATAGTATAGATTTTGAATAATAATTCTAAGAACTGGGAAATCTAATTATATCCAGACAACAACTTTTTATACAGTCAGAAAGTCAGTTAGAATGGCTAAGAAAGAACAGTTAACGAGAAATTCGCGATATTCTTTATCAAACTACCTAAACATTATGTAAAACAAATTATTTAAAATCTTATAAAGCTGGGCCATAGGTAAGATTACAAGTAAAAAGGGTTTTCCATCAAAAAACAAAAGCGTAACGCATTACGCACGGATTCATCCCGCCATTTTTAAATAATATAAACAAGTGACGAACAAAAGTTGATTTTTTTTGAAAAAATAACACTGCGCGATGAATACGGTATACCTACTTACGAGTAAGTAAGTGTATAAATCACTTGCTACAGGTAAGACTGTAAGAAAAGTAAATATGTATGATTATGTATTCTATCAACTGTGGGTATTTCCAAGGTACGGTCGTGCTACTACTATTGTCACCTTTATTCAGATCGAACTAGAATTAATTTTGCACCTTTACATATTCGAAGGATGCGGTTTTTATCGATAAATAATGATTGAAAATAGTTATTACTAATCTTAATAATAATAATTACTGTAAATTAATTCTATTAAATAAAGTCATTAAAATTATTGATTTGAAAAATTCAATTATGTTTATGAGTGACATTGATCATAATAAATCATTCAAAATCAATTTATTGGTGCATTAAGAATATGCTAAATGCTACAACGAATATGTAAATTCAATTTAATTTTGAATGATGTGTTTCTCATTTTGATTACCTACTTAAATTACATACAAAATTCCTTGGATTTTCGTGATTTTGGAACTTCATTAAATAATTTATCCAAAACTGACAACTGCGGTTCATTAACATAAAAACTATGAATATTAAATGGTTACATATTCTACAAGAAGTTTCCGTGTAAAATTTAAAATAACAGGTACGAGTATGTGACTTTATTTTATACAAATTATTTGCATTACAAGATTCTCTCTTCTGTTCTATAAAAAAAAACTCCAATCTAAAGAGTTCATCGAAGATTATAAAAAAAACAAAAAACTGTCGATAAATAACTTAATAAAACGACACATTTAGCGCTACAGAGTAGGAAACAATCTCTTTCTGACAACCCGGGGAGAAAACAGTCATTAGAAAAAAAAAAGAAAAAGTTTTTATAATGGTTGTTGAGACCAGTAACTTTTTTTTTAATGGCCACGCTATGCATTTTGGCAGTGTCTAGTTAAAAACGGGGAAACGGGAATTTATGGAAAATTGCCTAATATCGGACTCTCAAAAATAAGTCAAAAGGATGGGAGCAGTCCTCATTTCGTGGATTGAAAACAGATACTATCTCGTCACAACATCAAATGATACCTAAACTGCGTTAATTGCTACAGATTGCTTTACAAACATTAGTTTCCGCAGATATTATAATCTTACCTAATCGTTGGAAATTTCCGAGACCTTTCTTAATAAGTAATTGAGGTTACATTGATTCACTCGCGCGCCATCTTGCGGTGATAACGAATGCTATATTTGCTCAGTCTTGATAAAACCGTAATGACGATCATTCATACAATAGTCACTAGAATTTAAATATTTTAGTGATAGTAGTTAAATATTTATCTATATTGGTGACCCAAAGAATGACGCGTTGGAAAATGAGAAAATTTTAATAGTTCAATTTTGGAAAATCGACTGAAACTTTTTTTTAATTTACTAAGTGATACGTATGTATGTCACCTAACTATGTCACATACGAGGCAAGAACGAATACAACCATTCCTTTCGAAATTCACCAAGCCGAATCGTGGTATCCAAGGATTCAAAAAAATAGGTTCTTGTTTCCACAACCGGGTGACAAGCGGTCCAGTATCCTGTATGTATGCCACCTAACTATGTCAGGTCTTAAGACCTTCTTTTCAAAATTTACCTGGCCAAGTTGTAGTATAGTGTCCAAGATATACAAAAATTAAAAAAAAATAGGATAGGATAGGATAAAAATAATCCTCCTTTCTACATTCGGGTGACAAGCGGTCCGGTAGTAGTATCCTGTATGTATGCCACCTAACTGTCACTTAATAATACATTGTTTCAAAATTTACCAGGCCAAGTTGCAGTAGTCTTTAGTGTCCAGAATAATCATCATCATAATCATTTCAGCCATAGGATGTCCACTGCTGAACATAGGCCTCCCCCAATGTTTTCCATGTTGATCGATTGGTAGCGGCCTGCGTCCAGCGCTTCCCTGCTACTTTTACGATGCCGTCGGTCCACCTTGTGGGTGTCCAAGATATACATAAAATAAAAAAATAGGTCCTCCTTTCTACAATCGGGTGACAAGACAAGCGGTCCGGTAGTAATCTTGTCCTGTTAAACATATTTGAGCAAAGGAGTAGATCCGAGCCATCCTAACGGTGAGTGTAACGGTAGCCCCGATTTGTTATTCACGTGGACTACCGAATTTATAAGTCGAATACGAGTGGCCATTTTCGCGCATTACTAGGTACGGCGACAATCGACGTCGGACGTGTAAAATATTTGGATAGCCATATTAATATACGTACAATATTTATAGTTTGCCATATGTTACAGAAAATTCAATAAAATTTCGACCAAACCAACGCGTGCAGTCGGAGTGGACGATGGCGATGACGATGGAGACTTAAAAGCATTGATCGCGATTGATGATTGGTTACCTGTAACATAAGGTTGAGCCAAACCAATAAACACGAACAAAACGATACATAACGAAAACGATTTAGGTCTAAATCACAATTTATTGTAAAAAGTGATCACCGATATGACTTAGGTATTTTAACTTAAAAACTGAAAGTGCAACGTTTTCTTTCGAATGTATAGAATAGTCAACTTTTTCAGGAATCGGCTTACATCCTGAGAGATGCGCTAAGACGTAGGCAAATGCTAGAGAATATTCCCACAGCTGCTAATCACAAAAACACAAAAATTTGGAATGGCACTTATCGCTAAATAAATTCATCATTTAACCGTAAAAGTAAAAAATGTACCTATTGGAAATACACTGCATTCCATTTGATTTTTTATACCAAACACGTGTAGTCTTCGCAAAATATAGGTTACACAATCACATAGATAAAATCGGATTAAATTTTCACTTATGTCATAAAAGTACCCACCGAAAATCGATACGTTCCGATAAGATATTCTTGCAAAATTTATCTTAGAAAAAAATTCGTTGATTCTGATAACGCGGACACCAAATTTTATCGGCAGCTAGAAAATTAGTGAGCACATGTTAGCCATTTACAATTCATTCACCTGGGAGGTGGCGGCACATAATTCGTCTTTTTCACACATATTAACAACTGTCGCGTAAGAATGCGACGCATTGAGCACTTTGCTAATTAACTAAGCTTACAATGCTCATCATGAGTACTGACATAATCTGGTCTTTATTCCTCGGTCATTAATTCTATATTCACGCAGCACGATCGTAGCAGTTGAATGGGCATTGTATGCGTAAACATTAATCAATGCCATGGGTACGCTCCGAAGGTCGGCGAGTTCGTGGCAATACGCAAATCTTCAATAAGCCGTTTCAATTGACTAGAGACGCAAATATCGATGGGAACGTATAAATAGATTCCACATTGTTCCGCGCGAAAGTTGTTCGAATTTCAAACTGGTATCGTTGACTTTTTTTTATAACATACGCAACGGTATTCATCAATGTATTAATTTTATCTGCCCAACAAACAGGATCGATCTAAGTAGTTCTTTTATGAATTATACTTTTTTTATCATCTATATCTGTGGTGTCATAGAGATAACCGGCCAGTGCGCAGTTTGACCAAAATGCGTAGTAATTCTTAAAAAAATTGCACAGACTTAACGCGCTTCACACTCTATGATTATGCAGTTTCCTGTTATTATTAGCAAAAGTAAGTTGATTTTAATTCTTTTGATGTATAGGCTTTGTTTTCTGTAATGTTTAATGTAGATTTCACTAAGTTGTTTAAATCTGACATCGCGAATTCATAAATTTAAACTAGGTATCTAAATATACATATACATATTTACCTACTTATGTAAATCTAATTATTCTAATGATGCAATTTAAGGAAATCATCAGTATATTAACTAAATTATATGTAACGAGGAAAATACAGTTTGTTAAATCATACTGTAGAAGAAGACATACATTTTATAAAAGGATGACAACCAAATGAGCTAAAATATTATAATAATAAATAAATCTAATATTGTAATGGATGATAGCACGTAACGTAATGGAAGTAACAAAGTTTAAAGTAATGATCACAGTTAACCAACTGTGGAAACAACATTTAAAGCTAGTAACAAAACGTTTAATAATGAAGTCATACTTGTGTCAAAAATAGAACACTTGTATGCAAAACTAACCTTGCAACCAAAATTAAATGCATTCGTCCAAAAATATGTCAACTGAATTTCGAATTAAAATTTTAATAAATTAAAAATCGAATATCGAAAGTGAACATCATAATACTCGTATAATTCTCGATTTTAAAAATAAGGGGGTCTACAAGACGTTTTGTCTAAGCCCGGTGGACTGATGCCAAGTGAATCATTTGAGGAATGCCCTTAAGAACATTCTGAAGCGTTGAACGCGTTAGTTCGCGGGAAACGCATAGACAAACGTAAACAGTTTACGAATACTAGAAAGCGGATTATTATTAGTTACTTTTCCTTTGCATTGTTTACAGTCCTCGTGGCAACCACTAAAAAAAAGTTCACAATAACAATTTTTTTTTCAGAAAATTTCTGAACTGAAAATCTTTTTAGTTTTTATTCCCTGGTTTCCTCATCGGCTAGTCTTACTACACTACAACCTAAAACTTTTCATGAATTGCACAACATGAGAAAATACGAGCAAATATAAAAATGTTCACAATACCTTCCATCCTGCTGACGAGTTGCTGTCCCCCTTATCCTTAAAATATGGCACATTCTGGACCATCCACTCGTATATCTGAGACAGAGTGAGGCGGTTCTCAGGAGCTGAGGTTATGGCTTGAGTGATGAGATCGGCGTACGAGAGGTTCCCCCAGGCATTCCGGCGCGAGGAGTTCTTTTTGGCGCCTACCGATGACGGTAGGGGTGGGGCTCCTGAAACGTCAAGAAACGCATTAAAGCTTCGGCCAAACCAACGCGTGTAGCTCGCGTCGGCGATGGTGATCACTGCGCGTGCATAAATCGCCGCGACCAATGACATGACGCGTTGATGTGAACTCATCGCTACAAATTACGACATCTGATCGCCATCGCACGCAGGCTGCATGTGTTGGTTTGGCCGAACCTTAACAGTTTACCTAGTTTCATTGATTAATTTGATAATTTTCTTTTCTTTCTTCAATGAATCCTGTATGGCCGAAAAGCTGTCGGTCCATCCAGTTAAAAGTATGTATGGTACATTTTTATAAGGTGTAAGCAGAGTAAATACAAACGCACCTCACCGCTAATCCACGCTAAATTTTGTCAGTGTGTGCGTGCGCGCCGCATATGTATTGGCGCGCTCACATACAAACCGCGCTCGGTGCGTTTCTATGAAGATGACCTACTCATTTGTATTTACTTTGGTGTAAGGGAGTTGCAAACCATTACGATAGAAGAAGACATCAAGTCTGACGTCAAACCGATAATTTTGGAATATGCTAGCTAATATTTTACCTTCCCTATAATCTGACTCATAGGGTAGAATAGTCTGCTGGCTTAATATGCATTCGTGGATGGAATTTAATCCGTTTTCTAGTTAATATGGTACAGGACGACGTACAGGTGATGTTCAAATTATTTACCTATTATAAATTATGTCATCACAGTGTTAGAACTTGAGCATTAGGTACTAGTTCGCCAACCCAGACGTTGCCATTGCCAGTTCGTTATACCATTTCACCAAATCCTGTTTACTTAGCTTCACAGTAATAATTTGGTATTTGTATGAAAAAATATTGGTTTTAAGAACTCAACAAAGAAAACGCTCCTTTGATCTACGGATGAAAGGCTGTGAGTACAAGCCCCTAGAATAGATTATAGTCAGTCAACATTTATTCACTTTCAAGGTTTCTCAGGATGAATACAATTTCCCAAAGAAAGGAACATAGAAAAATAATGCCTTTGCTTTAGGTTCCCTTAAAGTTCTATTCCTCAGATTTTTGTACCGCATTTCTGGCGTGGGAAATAAACGAATTGTAGCAATCTGCCATTATTCTAGAAGTTTCTAAATTACTATTTTGCCAGTCTGTTTCGATATCGGAAAGAAACAACGATCAATCCCTCCACTACATTTTTATCTATTTAGTTTTTATGCGTTTTTCTTAGGACATAACTTAGATCAATCATAGTGCAAATGTAGTAAATTACAGTCCTTACTGGGCGTTGTAACGTCATGAATATTATGTCATTAAGTTAAATTATAACTGTAGACTGCCATGACACCTGTTGCGTCTAATTATCACTACTTAGGCTGGGTTACACCATCTTTTTTAACATTAACAAATAACAAAAATATGTCAAACTCCATACAAAACACCGGTTATCGTTATTGTTACGGTTAAAGTTAGGTGGTGCAACTTAGTCTAAATCATAAGTTACACGGGTCAATTAACCCTTAACCAGGCCTTGGTTAAATAGAGCCCATATCAATTTGAACTTTATGCTGTGCAGATACCGTTGAAAACCAATGACTTTTTTTAGACCTTGGTTAAGGGTTAGATGACAGGTTCTACTAAGGTTGCGTAGGGTAGACCGGGTACAATAGTACCACGGGTCAATAGTACCATCGGCGATATTTCTTCATACAAGCGACGTTAGATTGTGTGCATAGCGTCAGAATATGCGCTTTTTGTGTTTCCATCCGCTCACCAGTCGGCGGCGCTTGCGCTGAAAAACGAAGGTGTACAGGAAGGATTTTTGTTTTTTGCCCAGCCGCAGTAAGTTTTTATGTCAAATATATGAGCCCATAAGTTGCCTAATATGCTATTTGTTACCAAAGTATTGTTGTCAATAGTTTATCCAGGCTCTAAACTTTGTATCGACAGCGAATTATTGGCATTCACTGTGAAAATGACTGAATTTTAGGTGAAGTTCTCTTGACTACCTACTTGGAACAAATGTACCAGTCTCCATGGGGTCAATTGTAGCGGTACAATCAACCCCGTGGTACAATTAACCCCCGGAACCTTATTTTATACTTAATATTTTAAATTGGTTTTAAAGTACCTATACTTATAATAAAATAAGTTATTATAAAACATTCACGTGGTTATTTTACATTTTTACAATTATATTTTTATAATTATAGGCATACCTACCCACTGAAAAAATAGTTAATGTGTTTTATTAAATAAGTAGGTAGATGTCGATAAAAAGGTGATATAAGTACCTAAATGCCTACTTAAAATATTTTAATATAGGTTTCTAAAACCCTTCTGAATATGTACATTTTAGCTTAATTCAGTAAGTAACTAAGTATTTGAACGTTTTGTTTTAGATGCCTCGACGTAGAGTCAAAAGTACNTTTGCTACGGTAACTCAAGTATTTAACGAATTTAATTTGAAGGCGCTCTAGTGAATGTTGATGAGTTATGTATTGCGGATTCCAAACAGTGCTGCAATACTCAAGAATACTCCTGATATAAGCGTAGTAAAGAATTTTTATACAAGAAATATCAGTGAAATCGCGTGTAACCCTTATAATAAAACCTAAGTTCTTGTATGCCTTATTTATTATATATTCCAAGTGACAATTAAATGTTAGCTTGCAGTCCAAATAAATCCCTAAATCTTTCACAGATTCAACCCCGTTGAGACATACATTATTTAGTCTATAACCATATTCAATGGGAGTTTTACGCCTGGTAAACTTAATATGTACGCATTTAGAGACATTGACTGTGATTCGGTTAGCTATGTAATATGCAGAAAGTCTATCCAGATCTTCTTGAAGTCTCAAGCAATCCTCAATTGTGTTGGTAGATGTCGATAAAAAGGTGATATAAGTACCTAAATGCCTACTTAAAATATTTTAATATAGGTTTCTAAAACCCTTCTGAATATGTACATTTTAGCTTAATTCAGTAAGTAACTAAGTATTTGAACGTTTTGTTTTAGATGCCTCGACGTAGAGTCAAAAGTACGGATCACGGATCAACGGATCTATTCCTTTATGAACAGGCTTATGAAAAAAATTTAAAAGGGCGAAGCATTAGTAGGTATAAATAAATCAGGGTCAATTGTACCAGGGGTCAATTGTACCCTCATACAAAAATAAATTTTTAAGTTTTGATTATTCTATCATTGTTATTATGCTTATTGTTGTTTCAGGAGCAATATCCGAGCCAAATAAATGGCATATTATGTAGAAACAGTTAGCTTTTTCGTTTTTATGGAAGAAAAGTTATTGTTTTGTTTTTAAACTTTAGTGTTGATTTTTCATACTTGTTACTAAATTTTTTCGATCTCAATTAATAAAGAATGATGATTGTAGGAGATTAAGAGTACAGAATACCAATAAAGGTGATGATTAGATAAACATAATTACTTTTATAGCCTCATATATTATTGGTACAATTGACCCGTTGTAGGGGTCAATTGTAACATGAGACATCGTACAGTTCAAACTCGTTTTTCATTAAGTATTCGAAAGAATAGTTCAACTCTGCATGCTTAAATTTGTAGCTTAGGAGTCTAGTTGTTACAGCATACTAACAGAATAAGTTATATTTCATTAGATTTCTCAATATTGAACAATTTCCAAAAAATGGTACTATTGTCCCCGGTCTACCCTACGTCCTATGAATCCTATGTTAAATTTTAGGTGTTTTTGGAGCAACAAGGTTAAAAAATAATTGAAACAAATTGCAACTGCCATAAAGGGTATATTACTAATATAAGTTGCACATTATCAAGCTATTGATTGGGTAACTATTGAGGATAGGTTTCGATTTATGGAAATTGTATTTTTTTTTTTCAAACTGGATCCAAATAGATTTCACTCGTATCTTCTATCGGCATATTTGCATAATTCAACTATTAACTAAATTCGTACGACTGCCTAGCCTACCCATTATTATTAGGGAAATTTAATTATGATCAAGTTTATTCCCTTTAAGGCTGAGTTGCACCATCTTACTTTGACTTTAACGACTTTGACAAAAGTAAAAAATCTGTCAAATTCCATACAAAACACGCCGGTTGTTATAATTACTGTTAAAGTAAGATGGTGCAATCCAGCCTAAGTTTCGTTTCGCCATATTTTGCAACGGAACGGTTAAACTGTAGAATTTCAGTTGTTCAAAATAAATATGAGGAAGTAGGTAAGTGAGTATTCTTTACAAAAAAACGCCTACATTGAGACAATGTCATTTATGACGAGGATGACTTTTGTGAACTTTTTACACGCTAAATTTTCATGAAACATTGTTAACTTACGACTGCACTTTCCATATTCTATTATAATATGAAGTTATGAACTTTACGAAAAAGATACAGCACGTGTTAATATTTGATCCATTGTAAATGTGTTTCGATCATAAATTAAGAATATTAATTAACAGTTTATCCCAATTTGTCAAAATTTCATATTTTTATTACTTATCTCTTCTGTTCCACCAATTATTTCTCATCTTTTTTATTATTTTATTTAATTATTTATACTAACTTCCCTTTTTTATATCACTTTTGCATATTGCAAACCAGCAAGGGTTAACCTTTCTTCTCTAATATCTTTCAATTATGTTTTCAACTTGTGTTAAGAGTAGATGCAGTTTAGTAATATTACTATTCATTCTTACCTCGAAGAAAGCCAAGTCATGGTTCCTTATTATGAAACGAGTTTAAAGTATAATCTACACTCATGAATAGATTCAATCCCGTGATTGGTCAAAATATTGAAATTCTACGAGGCTTGAATTCTTTATTTTATTTTTTTTATTTTATTTGTTTAACAATGTTTCAACAGCATTAAATTGTACATAAATGTGCAGGAAGATACAACTTGAACATAAGCCAATTAAAGAAACACATTCTATTACTAAAACATTTTTAAATAAGTTAACGTGGGTAGGTAGGTGANTATTGGCTTCTTTCCACTTCGTTGGGAAAACTCCTTCGGAGATAGATCGATTAAAAAGTATAGTCAAAGGGATAGATAATGCCTCATTCTAAGTTTGAATCAAATTTGGAACGTTGTAGTCTTTCAGATTTTTTTTCAAGTCTTCTTTTTCTTCGTTTGTGGGCTTAACTTTTATATGGCCAGTATTTAGAAAAGACTCATGGCAGTAAGTTTTATTTGAGTGAATTTTCCGCTTACCTTTTTTTGTATTTGATCATTCGTGTCAGCCGTACTGTTATCAGCTTACAAATTATTTTTCTTTTACTTTTACCGGTTTCCTTATTAAGCCGACGAGGGCTAGACGTAGTAGAATTTTATTATCGACAGTGGTTACGTTATTATTTGTGTTTTGAACCTTTTTATAGGTCTATTTGGACTAATGTTAACTTAATATTGCATACGTAAGTATCTAGTTTATACAACAATGATTAATTTTAAATATTTTCCGCATATACACATTTACAAACTACATTGAATGCAGTATTACTAGAGTTTATTATTACTAAAGCTCGCAAGAAATTACTAACGTTTTCCTCGTATTCATTTTCACTGGTAATTTGAAATGTTTTGGGAAAGCCTACACAAACATTGTAAGTAAATAAACACACGTTACTTATCACCGTTTAGTGCGTAATGACGATTCTCTATAATCAGTTTATACGTCATCTAATACAAATAACCATACGATTCTGGATTCTCCAGGTCCCATTACGTGTTATTGTACTATAGCTGTTATATTATTTTATTTAAACAATATTTGGTCTGCTATTTAGAGCCACAGTATTAATTTAATATTATAGGCATTTATTCCAAGATATTTGACAACTCCATGAATATTCATAGAAGGTAGGAATAATATTATACGAAGGCAAAAGTTAACGGCTACTAGCAATATTATTGTTGTTGTATCAAATTAGATTCACATTCAATAATTTCGTTTAGTCTGCACACAATTCAAAATGCATTTGCAAAATATTATGCTTATCTCTGCATTATTATTAGTGTCGGTAACAGGATATTAGCTCCTGACTTGATGTATTTGTTAATGAGGTCTCAGTTACTCTTGACTTGCATAAAGTTATGTTCAAACGAGCGTCTATTTGTCAGCCGACTAAAGTCTAACTGAATGAATAACAAAATCTTGTTATTCATGACATTGCCTTTGTTTTGTTTACTTCTTTTTCAGATTATTGTTATCTTCAGCGATATAACATACGACTTTTATTATCTATCCGAGTTTAATTTGTAAACAGAGTATTACTGGAAGTTTCAACGTGAGTATTATTTAGGCATTTTTTATCGTTCTGTTAAATATCGTGACTTCTCCAATGTTATTTTGTTATTGGGCTCGTACACGAACGGGGCGTCGGGTACGTGGGCGACCTAAATAGCCGCGCGTATCGCGACCGCGACCCCACTATCGGCGGACAAGTGATATTTACCCGCCAGGTTCTGGTTGGAGTTCTTCTTGGAGCCGGCGTCGTCGCAGGGCTCCACGTAGTTGTCGGGCCGGGGCAGCGGCCACGTGTTGGACCGCGCGCGCGTCTGCGGCTCGAAGCCCACCTCCGTCAGCTCGCCCAGCGGCTCCAGCTCGCCCATGGTGCCGTCCAGCTCCGCCAGTCCTGTCTGCGACGACCACGGGCTCTGGAACCCACCGCTCCCCTGTATAGACATTACACCGCCGCGATTTCGATCAGTGGAATTTTTTGGAAGGTGTGTCGGACCAAGCGCTCATCGGCGCGTGCCGGCACCGGCCATTAGCATCTCAGCGCGCTCTCCTTTCTGATTTTTCAAGATTTCTTTCTATTTCCAGAACGTCGCCGGACTTCGCCGCGGTCCGCAGAGGTTATCTGTCTTGTCCTTATCGGCTCTGTTATTCGAAGCCAATAACATGTGGCGTCTCACTGTTCATAAACAGCTATGTATGTGCGCAGAGCTTCGGCCGTCGGGCCGCTCCAGAGAGGCGATTTTCGCTAAATATAAGCGCGGGCGAGCGGGGGCGGGGCGCGACCACGTGAGCGACTACGCGCCGATTTTCCAATTCATCACTTGCGGACTAGAGGCGCGATAACCTTGTAACGTGGCTAGAATTGTCAAAAAACACGAAAAACTGTTTGGATGCGACAGTCACAAGGGTCGTGAGTCCCGAACTGTTGTCACTGCGCAAATTCGGCGTCCTTCCTAGTTCGACTGGCACTTTACAACTTTTCCACACTGATAAGAGTTATCACTGGTCGCGTTTAGAGGTTGCACACTACTTTCGCGTGGTCGTGTAGTCCTCTGAAGTTGTTTGTTGCACTGTGAGGTTGTTTGAAAGTGTCCACGCGGTAGTGGTTGTGGCAACTGCGTAATAACTGAGTGGCGCGCGTGTTGCGGCGTATCGTCTTGGGCCGCGAGCGGTCGCACGTACACTGAACTACGTCGCGAGGAGCGGCGTTTGGTGCGAATTCCGCTCGCCGCGGCGCCGCGCTGGCCGTGGGAGGCGGGCGGAGGCGGGAGGGAGACGGCCGCTGATAGAGAAGTGGCGTCGTGTGACCGCGCTCGGTCGCATCTCGGCCGCGGTCGTGCGCGCTCGGCTCGTTATAATAGTCCGAAATTCTTTTCGCTGTCTATCGAAGCGTGTGTAGGCCCCATCGCCCTTGATCCTCAGCAGGTTGCACCGGCACGTGTGGGCAAAGACGCCAGATTTCCGTTACAGCGACTGGTTTACACGCTGAATGCCACTTCAAAGTTTGCACTCAACTTTTAATTTGTTTGAAAACTTTGTGACGTCAATGTTTACATAACTTTGTGTTTCAAACTTTACACGTATTTAACACGACAACACAAGTGCTCTTAGCATTCCTCAGCTTGAATTGAATGCCATCATAGTAGACGCCATATTAAAATTACGTGCGCATGGACTGATAATATCACTTGCCACTTAATTACGAGTCGCGCGAGTCGTAGCGTCACTACGAAGTTAGAGGTTCCGTAGCAAAAATGCGGGCTCAAAATGCGTAACGCTACGTCAAACCAGACAAACTTTCGTGTTTTACTACGCGTTAGGCGTCTTAGTTTGTAATTTAGTTCACGCTTGTGTTGCCTCTACTTATTATGACTTTAGTAAGCTGTCAAATTGTCTGATTGGTTGGGGGTCCCGGATTTGATTTCCACGTGGGGCACAGAACATGAGTGTATAATGTAGTGAGATTGATTATTCCCACTATATTGCTGACTAGAAATACATATTTTCCGATAGTAGGTAATTATTCCATTTTATAAGACAAATCATACTATCTCGTCAGTCCAATCGAGACACGTCAGACGATTTGTGTCCCAACGTTTAAGTTCAACCCACACGATAAAAAAGGGAGACTTCGTCAATTAAGGATTGTAATTACTTTAATCGAACATTGTAATCTCGCGCTTTGAACGTAATTACTTATAAGTTTGTTAATTAATTTTCCAATACTTAAATGAATAATTTGGTGCTCTACCAAAGATTTTTCACAGGCTCTACCTACGCGAAAGAAAGCATTAGGAAATTGAACTTTGCGTAAGTATGTAACGGCATAGACAAGGAGCCTGCCAAATTTGTATGGAATGGAAAGATCTTTTGGAATCCTTTTACGCGTGATATCTTTTATGCCCGGAGTCTAACTCCTCGATCTACTCAGATTATACTAGATAAGTAAAAATACTTGTTTTATCCATTTTTGTTATCAGGGCACTTCATCCATTTGATAGAATCTATTGAAATATTTGCATTACATAATACAAAAGGTTTTAATAATTTGTGAAAAATGTTGAAACAACTGAGGTCAAGACCTAGATGTCAGGCTTGATGAGCCGCCATTCAGGCGTCTGATATTTGTACCCTCTAAAGCACTTTTATCTTTTAAACAGACTAGACTAAAACCCGTATGTGATGGTGGCGCCCTCTATTTACTTTTTTTTTTCTTTTAATATTGTATTTTTTTTTTTTTGTTTTTCTCTTTTATTTGTTTTTTGTGTATTGTCTCATCTCATATTTGTTTCCAGCTCTCTCCAAAAATGGTCACCGCAGAATAACAGCGTCGTGTTCTGGTTTTATTTACCACTCCAGAGCATGACACATGCTGAGCGGTGGCCAATTTTGGTTCTAACTTAAACTTGTTTTTGTTATCTCATTCTGTGTGTTATATTTTTTAAGTTTGAACCAAATAAATGTTTTTCTTTCTTTCTTTCTTTCTTAGTAGATTCAAGTGATTTTTCAATTTTGTCATAATTAGGAATCAAGCCTAGGACGGACCGATAAAACTTTGTTATTTAGCCTATTGAAATAGAAATATAGCTGACACGTTTACTGGTATCATTTTGCAAAAACTACAATTGACATTATCTCCACGATGGCAACCTTATCGGAAGTTAGGGAATTCCCCTTTACGTACGTTTAACTTTTTTTAACTGTCCCAAAATGGAAACGTCACTTTAGATTTATCTTCAGTTAAGTTGATTATGAAATCATTTTATCAATAATCTTAAATCTCTATACTCTTGTTCTTCTAATTACTGATTTGATATCACTATCATTTTAGCCATTGGACGTCAGCTGCTGAAGATAGGCCTCCCCCAATGATTTCCACAATGGCCGGTTGGTAGCGATCTGCATCCAGCGCCATCCTGCTACCTTTATGAGGTCGTCGGTCCACCTTGTGGGTGGTAGTTTTGATATACTCAAGGAATATTTTGTATACTTTTTTGTGAGATATAAATAAACTGTAAAACATAATAAACAACATAATTTATATTTAACTTATCATATTCGTATTGACAGGTTAAAGTTTAAATATTATCGAATGAAAATAGCTTATTTTTCATCATCACCATATCCCACTACTTTGTAAGTACTTAACAATATTACTTCTCATATGGGACCAACGATCATGAAATACCTCAACTGGATGCTGTGGGAATAGGGTTACCAGGTGTCCGGCTTTAGCCGGACATGTTTTTTTTTATCCACAACGAGGAAGCTCTTGGCCTGTATCTCACCTGATAGTAAGTGACGATCAGGCCGAAGGTGGAAGCGAGCTGGACTATGTTTGACTGGTCCGGCCTGTCTGGCTTTTGTTAGACTTTTTATGTGGCTGCCGCACCAGTAGAAAGTCGAGTCACAGAATAATATTCAGTCGAAGATGATGGTACTCCCTCACGAGCTATAATGCTAATTGCACCCCCCCTCCCCCCCGTGACATAGTACTTAGCTATTAAAAAATGTATGTCCGGCTTATAGGGTAAAATGTCCGGCCAAATTAAGCACAGAGTCCGGCTTTTGTGTTTTTAGACCTGACAACCCTTGGGAAGCAAGGCAGGACCGGTCGTTGTGGAAATTTTTAGGGAGGCTTTCTTATCATTACGTACCTATTTACAATAGAATCCAACTGTTATAGTCTATCCAATATAGCTTGATTAGAATGACAGCTGCCATCAAAAGTAACGACATAACTTTGTAGTAGCGTTCAATGAGAGCTAAATATTAGCGGACAAGAAATAATTCACGTCTGACCTACAAACAATATTTTCGACGACAGTGCTTCCAATAAAAATGATAATTTCGTGTAAATGCAGCGTTAAATTACACCAATAAGTAGTAATTCGAAATTATAAAAATCAAGCTAGAGTATTAACGACGTCTCTACAAGGTTATCTCGAGTTACAAAAATGTTAGTGTTGGGACATATCGACAAATGTCATATTAAATTAAAACTATTTTTTTAACATATTTAACAAAAAAAATTTCTAACTAATTTTTTAACATATTTAAGTCAAGTTATACGTTTTTCTAAATGTTCACTATTAAAAACCAAAAAACATTTCATTCTTAAACAATCAAACATCGGAAATCAATCACCGGTAATTTTTTAGGTATTCATAGCACCGTTGCTCTAGAAGAGATGCCCACCGCCCTCTAGCGAGAGGAAAAAACCACTGAAGAACACTGATGATAATGACTACGACTTAGGTTGTACACCCTTGACATGAATTTTAAATTTTACTGTCTTTAAATTTAAATCATAATTGTCATTTTTATGAATAAAGATATGAAGAAAAATTGGGTGCATTTTTTTATATCATTTTTTCGAAAACTTATCGATACATCTATGTGAACCGTACGAAACATACCCATCACTAGTCACATTCGTTTGACAGCCGTCATTCTAATCAAGCTATATTGGATAGACTATAATACAAAAATGACACATTAGTATCTACCTTTCAAAATGTAAGTAGGTATGTAGGTAAAGAAATGCCTAATATTAGATTGTATCATCATAAAAGAGATAGTGGCTACATGCTAATAATAAATGATAAAAAGATACCCCGTTATATGAAGCAATAAACACGTGGTTATCATACTGCCAAGATAGGTATGTTATGTGCATGTTTGCTACGTCTTCAAACTGACATAAAGGTGTATTCACAGCAGTACGGTGTTTGGGTGAGACCACCAAGAGAGATCACGTGAACATACACATGATAAACCCAAAAATATTACTTGAACGGCGCATTGTTACATAAAAACTTGATAATAAAGTGGAGTAAAGATAGTTACACGTGTCTTGATATTAAATAAAGAGTTGGTACATTTCATTTTTAAGCCTTGACATTGAAATTATTGTTCTGTTATACAATAGTTCTTATAGTAACGAAACGGTCAAGCGAGTCACATATTTAGACGAAAGGTGTTGAATCTGAGAAGTTCGACTCATAGGTAGAGTTAGGACGCATTAGAAAAAGCTTGACTCTACATGAGATTTGAGGACTTTCTGATAGTGCGAGCCATATGTTTTCCATGCCATGGCAACCTATAATTAAGGCAGTACTTAGAGTAAGTTTAAATACGTTGTAAATATTGTTTTTCTTTTAGTATGTCTTGATTTTATCCTATTAAATAAATAAAAATAAAATAAACATAAAAGGTCTCGTCTTGGCAAAATTTACATGTTTTTTTTTTGGTAAGATTAGATTTTGTCGCTGGGGCAGAAAAGTTCTCGAGTGGCGATCACGAGCCGGAAGACGTAGTGTGGGCAAGCTTCCCCCACTAGGTGAACCGACGATCTGATGAAGGTAGCGGGAGGCGCAGGACCGGTCTTTGTGGAAATTCTTTGTCCCATGTCCAGCTGTGGACGTCATTCGGCTCAAACTAAACGAACGAGATTTAGAGTAAAAATCGTCACATTGGCGAGAGCTTGCAGCATCTAACAGTCACTCCTCTATATTTATAGGCTAGCAGTAGTAGTTAGGTTCTAAACGCTCCCTGAATCATTTAACGGAAACAAAAAAAGTGGCCTTTTACTTTTTTCATTAGGTAACAGGTATTTTACGATCACATCCGACTCCGTCCGTCCTAGGCGATGACGTCATGGATCAAATTAAGCAAAGTAGACTTATGATCTAGGTCATTGTAGGTATACTAAACTACTATCGCGACTTCGTACGCGTGA